CCAGCGCAGCGTCAAAATAATGATCCCAATTTGTCAGAACTGCGGCCAACAGGCTGGACCAAATTCCCCCCCCCCCCGACCTTCCTTGCTTAACGACGCCCACTCTGCTACTCCCTATAAACGTGTTTCATCTTAAAATATATTTTCCTATATACGCTTTTCTTATTAAAATAAATTTTCCTGTATATAAAGTTTTTCTTAATTAAAATCAATTTTCCTATATATGTTTTCTTAAAATCCATTTTCTTATACACGTTTAAGAAAAAAAGTATATAGGAAAATTGATTTTATCAAAATAAATTTTCCTATATACGTTTTTGATCTTAAAATCAATTTATTTTTTGTTTGTTTTACATTACTTGCGATTCCCTCTTTCACTCAAGTCGTTAACCGCTCAAATGGTTTAATGTCGTTTATCTGTTGTCAGACTTGTTAGGGTTATCGAGGTTCCCCAAAGGCCTAGAGTCAGATTCACGAAGCAGTTACGCAAGCACTTACGAACGTGTACATCTTTCCTCCACCTTTGACGGCTTTGGTTACATTTATTAAACAGTTTACAAGCACCAAAACTTGCCAATCAACTGTTGTTATTGTTATAAACAGCCTCCTGGTGCTTCGGAGCTCATTAACTGTTTAATAATTGTAAACAAAGCCGCCAAAGATTGAGAAAAGATGGACAAGTTCGTAAGTGCTGGCGTAACTGCTTCGTGAATCTGGCCCCTGATACTCTCCAGGATGGAAGCCACAAGTGTTGCCTAAAACTCCAGGGTTATTATATACTGCTGGGTGAACAGGTGCATCAGATGCAAGGAAACGAGCCCAAGCGTCTCGGTCAGCCCGGAAATGAAACTTGGGGACATTTGCGAGAGTTGCTCACACTAAGTACACTAAAAAAAACTCATATACTAATTAAGATTTAGAAATGTAAAGATATTTTTCTAAATCTAAAAACATATTTTTTTGAAATACATGACTTTAATATTTTATAAAGGGACAAATACATTTTTATTTTTTAATTCTGGCTGTGAATAGGCCTACGGAGAAGGCTGATTACTCAATTTTGTGCGACCTGTAGTTTAGTGGTCTACGTTCTCGACTTAGGATACTTGATCAACCAGGCTGTGACTCATACGTCAGGCTGCGAGCAGCCGCGTCCAACAGCCTGGTTGATCAGTCCAGCAACCAGGAGGCCTGGTCGACGACCGGGCCGCGGGGACGCTAAGCCCCGGAAGCACCTCAAGGTAACCTTAAGGTAACCTCAAGGTAAGGTACAATCGGAGATCGTAGGTTCGATCCCCCGGGCCAAGACAGAAAAGGTTTAGCACATTCATGAACATTTGATGCCTCTATTCATCTATCAGTAAACAGGAACTCAGGAGCTACGCAACTATTGTGGGTTGCATTCTGGGGGCAGGTCAGTAGTCCGATCCGCCTTGTGGGGGAGGGGGGAGGGGGCGTAGATATATGTTTACAGGCTTCCTGTCCCCGATAACAGGAATTAGTTACGTGTATGTAACTAGTACTTATTAAACGTGAGTTTCCCCCCCCCCCACCCCCCCTTCCTCCCAGGCAACAAGTGTTCTACATATAATTATAATTAACAAACAAACAATAAACATATAATTAACAAAGTCCAGCTTTCTCTAGATCATGTACACTCATGTGTGACACATGCAAAAATGGGGGTTCTCACCAGCACATGTGTTTTCGGGTAAATATGTGTTAACTCACAGGATGGACCTAACACCTGAAGCCAACCACAGAAGAACACCCCCACCCCCTACCCCCTCCTTTCTCCAAACTCATCAAATTCGTTGAACTGTTCATCGGAATTCTGGTTTGTTCTCATATAGAAATTTTACTATATATCAATATATTACGAGTCCTTCTGAAGATGTATTAATATACGACAGTACTTAAAGAAATTCCTGTTTCAATTCTTCCTCCGTGGTCTGACACTCATATTTTTCATCACGTGTTAATTTTCGTGATTTACACACATTAATATATTATGTTTAATTAGGCATGGGTTAGGTGTTTACATTCTGTAGGCAATTATTTGCACTTGTAGTTTGTTTGTGAAGCCTTAACTGCTGTGTGGGTCCAACAGAGGTTGTCAGCGAAGCACTGCTCGAGAAATGCCCGAATCTCATTAATTGTGAGTCGAGTGTAAATACTGTTCATAAAAAACGGGTTTTGACGGCTGGATTAATGAGGATTTAGCATTTGTTGACGAGGACGGGTTGAAAATGCTTCCCAATAAAGCCGCTAAACCCCTGTTCATGCATGAAAAACACTTGACACTACTCACGCTGCAACCCGTCCTCGACTCAAGTCCATTACATCCAGCGGTCAACCCCACAGACGCATTCATAAATTTTAACTTGCTGTTCATTCAAAACGGGAATTTTCTCAAGTATAAATTAATATTGTAATATATTAGCATATTGTGTATATATAGGCATAGGATAGGTTAGGTGTTTAGGTTCTGTTGGCGATTATTTGTATTTGTAGTACGTGGGTAAAGCATTTATAGCGTTGTGGTTCGAACAAAATTCGTCAGTGAAGCACTTGTTCCGGATATGTTCGAACGTCAGCAGTTGTGAGTCGTGTGTAAACCGCTTTTCATTCATAAACAGGGGGTTTGGCGGGTGCATGGAATCACTTTTGGATCTTTGTTTGGAGGACGGGCTGCACATCTGATGACGTTCGAACACTTCTCGACCAATGCTTTGGACTTCAATCGAATCGCACCTCATTCATGCTTCACCCACGCTCTCTAAATACAAATAATTGCTAAGAAAACCTAAACGCCTACCTAACCTACGCCTAAATATGCACAATATGATGATATATACTAATACTACTAATAATAATATATTAAGAGAAAATTCCTCTTGACCAGACCACACACTAGAAGATGAAGGGACGACGATTTGATTGTTGCCGCCGAAGGCGGCTAGTTTATTGTGCACCCCATACTCGGCGACGTTTCGGTCCGTCCTGGACCATTCTCAAGTCGATTGAAAAGAAAATTCCTATTTTAAATGAACAGCTTGTTAAAATTGACGTAGGCTACTTTGAAATCGGCCGCAGCTTTAACCAGCCTAGCTTACAGACCAGTTGAAACAATCGTTTCAAAACAGTTACAGCACAAGCCCAGACATAACAAAATCTGTGGGCTACACAGCAATAATTATACGTCGCGAATTATACATGTTCATAGATTTAATAGCAAAGAGCTAGTACGGAAATAAGGAATACAATTGGTACAGCGCTGTTTCCCATTACATGCGCATACAGGAAACACAAATAGTTGTAATTACTCACCTGTCTTTAGTAGCGTGGATCACTCTGTAGATCATCGTTGTCACCACACACAATCGTTTATAGCACTGATATGTTGCTTAGATCACTGATATATTGTTTATACCATTGATATATTGTTTATAGCACCAGTATATTGTTTATATCACTTGATATATTGTTTATATTATTGATATATTGTTAATAGCATCGGTATTGTTTATAGCACTGATATATTGTTTATATTGCCTGTATATTGCTTATATCACTTGAATATTCTTTAAACGCTTCAATATTCTTTATATCACTGGTATAGTCTTTATATCACTGGTATAGTCTTTATATCACTGGTATAGTCTTTATATCACTGGTATAGTCTTTATATCACTTGTATAGTCTTTAGATCACTGGTATATTCTTCAGATCACTTGTATAGTCTTTATATCACTGGTATAGTCTTTATATCACTGGTATAGTCTTTATATCACTGGTATAGTCTTTATATCACTGGTATAGTCTTTATATCACTGGTATAGTCTTTATATCACTGGTATAGTCTTTACATCACTTGTATAGTCTTTATATCACTGGTATAGTCTTTACATCACTTGAATAGTCTTTATATCACTGGTATAGTCTTTATATCACTGGTATAGTCTTTATATCACTGGTATATAATAATATCGAACACACACACCTGAAACGTAGAGTTAACATTATGTCAATAATCTTCCTTCCACCATTGAATCAATAAATTCACTATCACAAAAACATTGACACTAGAAATAAACTTCCCTTTTTCTGCCTCAACACTCTGGGCTATATACACAGATGTGTATCAAGGTTTGGGTGTATATATATACACACCGAGTGCGTTAAATAACCCTACGGAAGGTTGCAAGGCCTTATATGGGGTCCATAACTGCTTACTGAACAATAAGCAAGTACACTTTTAACACGAGATTTTGTCTAGGACTAAAAGTGTATATATATACACAGAAGCGACAACACCTCTCTGTGTAGAGGTGTTGTAAAGAGGTGTTGTAGAGGAAGGTTGGAAGGCCTTATATGGGGTCCATAACTGCTTACTGAACAATAAGCAAGTACACTTTTAACACGAGATTTTGTCTAGGACTAAAAGTGTATATATATACACAGAAGCGACAACACCTCTCCGTGTACAAATATAACTGTCACGAGCGAGACTGCTTCACTAACAATGAAACGTCGGAATTAGGACACAAATGCTTTTCTCTGATTCAAATTAAACATTATTCATAATATTATTAATAATGTCTAAGTGGTTTGCTGTTATTGTGAGTTTCTGTTATGTACTTAGTGTGCTGTAAAATTATATTAACTTAATGAATTGTAATTGTACAACCCTTTTACGAATATAGTTTTTGATTTGATTTGAAAAGTTTGTGTTTACATGAAAAAAAACTTTCTCGCCTTGACAAATGATGTACGATAATTAATCCAATATACGTGAGAGTCTCAGTCTGTGTTTTAATTCATCAGTATATTCTACACAGCATTTTGTGCAGTATTTATCAGTATTTTCTACCACTAGGAAGGTCATAATACTCCACATCTGGCAGGTGTGGGCCGGTGCAGCCAGGTGTAAGCTGTATACCCATCAGGCACCACGTGTCACCTCACCAAAATGTAAACACGGTTACCAGTCACCAGGCAGACACACTACCGCCTGCTTGACACGTCCACCTGAATCGTCTTTATCCGATCGGAGGGGAAGACATCCGGCTATACTGTACGTGTCCTGCAGTCGGATATAACACCAAGGTTATGGTAGGAGTAGCTGGAGACACACAGCACCGCCCCTGTGCCTGGTAACTCCACTACGGGCTCACTATAGCCCGTGCTACTTTGGAACTTTTGTTCTAAGTAGCTGAACCTAAAAACAACTACACAGGTGTTACTGATAGTTGTTGAACATAAGCGGTTGTGGATAACGACTTAGTCCTTGGCACTAACTGGCTATGAAGCAGTTAGGATTAGGTTGTCCATGCTAGACGTGGCATTTATTATGGAATCTACCAAACCGTTAAAATTAGGACGTAACAGTTGAACTTGAAACACTGTAATAGTTACATGTTTTATGCTTCGACCTCGAAAGATTTGTTTTATTTATTCCCCCCCCCCCCCCCCAGATGCTTTGTTTACAAAATGTTATAGTGTTCAACAGTGTTGAACACCATCATAGTGTTCAGGAGAGAACTTGACAAACACCTCCAAAGTTAACTTTATAAACCAGGCTGTAATTCATATGTCAGGCTGCAGGTAGCCGCGTCCAACAGCCTGGTTGACCATTCCAGCAACCAGGAAGCCTGGTCGAGGACCGGGCCGCAGGGACGTTAAGCCCCGAAACCACCACAAGGTAGGAGAGAGCGGGTGGTCACTTCTCCTGGCTGTTCTCTACACTCGCCGCATCGTACAGTGCGCTAAGCTAACCAGAAACATACGAACCCAAGCAACCCAATTTACCTAACCTATTGATGCATAGAAAACGCAAAAAATCGTGAGCCTTTACTTTCATAACGAATCTTAAACGACGAAGACTATTTAGCTATGGGGTCATTTGTCTCACGCGTAGGATAGAGATGTATATGTTTCACCATAAACATTGTACAAGAGGCCAGCTGCAGTTTTCCTATTCATTATTTATCAAGAGCCTCCTCTTCCCCTTTGCTGAACTAGTCTGGCAGACTCCATTTTCTTCATGGCTTTTAATGCCAGCAGGGACTTGCCAAAGGACATATACAATCTCGGTGAAGTTTCTTTGATAATCGTACAGATTCCTCATCCTGACACCTTTTTAATAATTTATATTTTGCAAGATTATTTATGAAGGGTTGTGGTTACATATCTGATTTGACGTGACGCAAGAACTTTATGTATCTTTTTATCTATTTAGCTGTAACAGCAAATACAGATGTGGACGTACTTCGCGGCGCTGCCCTTGACGGATAAGATATGGCTGATCGTCTTGATGCCGCTTATGTTGGATATGTTATGGAGGTTCTTGAAGACGCAGTCACTGACGAGGTGGAAGCTGGCGCTCTTCGCGGTCATGGCTCTACAGGCGTTTATGTTCGCAATCTTCTTCACTCGGTCCGAGGAGGAGCTGAAGAGAGTGAACGTCACCATGCGGTCGCCGTTGAAGTTCACCTGGATGATCTTCAGAAACCTAACACTGTTTGATCTGATAATAGTCGTCTTCATGACGGAGTTTATGGTCCGGGTGATGAATGGGATCTACACCAAGCTGAAAACAATGGGGCTCAAGTGGACTGTCTTCACAATGCTCTCAATAATAGGGGTAATGGGGGTGATTATCACGAAGCTACCGTTGATAGAGTTGATATCGACAATCTACCCGAGGCTGTCGATATCAGAGTTGTTGTGGACGCTGTACACAACGCTGTCGTTATTGGAATTGATGAGTGTGCTCATCATGATCATGACATCGGTGAAGATTATGTGGACGATCATCACGGCAACATCACTGATGAACTTGATATGGACGGTGATAACGGCAGTACTGTTGATAGGGTTGACGGAGGTGGTCTACAAGAGCATGACCTTCACGGAGAAGATGTCCGTGATCTTCACGACGGCGTCTGTGATTAGGTTGTTATGGTTGACCTTTACCACAGTGGTAGTTACGGATATATTGACCTCCTTCACCTGGCCTCTGGTGAGGGCCGCGGGTGTCACCGTAGCGGCGCTCTCGATGGTCAAGTTGACGTGGAACATCTTTTCAACGCTATTAATAATAACAAACGATTTTGGCGACGAATCCAAGATTAAACTTCGGATTATTGTTGCTCATTTGTTCTACGGAAGAAAAGTTTATCAAACTTTCTTTCGGCACTTTGTTCATTTTTAACTTTTAGGTAGCGTTAACAAAGTTACTAAATGCATTATAAATTTGAGCGGAAAGTTTGGTGTTAAGAGGTCATTCCCCTACAAAATACAACTACCTTGAGTCTTGTAAGTTTAATTGCCCTTATCTGTAAAACGTGTGGCCTCCAGATATTATATCTCACAGTGTTTCTCCTCTATGAGATGTGATCTAAACCCGATCATTCATCCCTGCACCTCTCCAGAAAGTCCTATACACTTAGAGTGCCCAAACCAGAACATTTAAAGTCGAATTACGTGGTTTGGTAGTTCCCGCATCAGCTGGGTGCTCGACATGAATACGCGCCTTGTCTCCTTACTGAACGAGGACTTGACTACGGCAGTGTCTCGTTCTACCCTCCTGCACCGGAAGGCAGCAGCCATGTTTAAGGTACGCGCAACCACCCTCCCTGTGAGTGGACAGTTTGGCCTCGCTGGAGAACCATAACTAAACTCTTAAGTTATCTCCAGCGAGTGGCTATCAGTGCCGTCAACCTGTGCCTGAAGGCTGTCCTCTCTTATTTAACGAGCTGTGTAGCATAGGTGTGTGTTCTTGCTGTGCCGGCGTGTGTGGTGGTGGTGGTGGGGGGCTTTGAAGGATGTTAAGCGTCTCTCCGTGTTCGCATCAATATCCCAGCAGGGAGCTCTTTGTCCTTAATGACTTCTCTTGTACTCTCCGGAGCAGCCCAACCAAACTCAGGCGCATTAACAACCAAACGGTGGGTTTGGTCGTTATATATGAACTATATATAGGTAGAAACCTAGTTTCTCTCAAATTGAAACATTTTTACGTTCCGATGATCCCCGTCAAGTGGGTTGTTCCTTAAGGTGGTGAGGGACTCTTGCTCCCCCTACTGGCAGCCAAAAGCTAAATGCACCAGCCCGGGTGTCAAACCACTCTGGTTTGACACCCGTGCTTCCCCCCCTCCCTCACAAATGTTCCTTTACCTGGTAGAAGTAATGCACATGATAAAGTAAGTAATTATCAAATAATTATTTTTTCTAAAATACATAGGAGTTATTTTTATTTTGTGCTGTATTTTTCTGGACGAGTGAGAATGCAGATTTTACTATATAAAAAAGGTACTTAAGAAGGTACTTCTTAGATCAATTATAAGAACATTTTACTAAATCTGCTCTAATAAAAATTAGCGACAACGTGAATATTTATTAATAGTTTGGACACTAGAATTTTTAATTGAAATGTAACAACTGTCTTGGTAAGAATAATACGAACAACTAATCCCAATTGTGTAATAGACGTCATGTATGGGCCAATAGACAGTTTCCTGCAGTCCTTTATTCTTGCGTTCACAAGCTGTTATTAAATGTTATTAATTACTTTTATATTTCCACTTTATTGTGAACTTGACAAATCTTATTCATATTACCTTTATTTACACAAGTCATTTCTGAAAATGCATCTATTTATATTTATATATATTGAGCTCAATTAAATCTTATATAAATTTCCCTGATGGTCATACGTTTTCACATTGTTCGCGTGTTTATTCAAATGAAAGTATTGACCTTAACGTCACGTGGCTCCATGTGTATATCATGTATACACATGTATACATACACAAGCTTCTAAGGCAGAACTTCCAACCTTGGCTTATTACAACATTTCGCAGACGCAACAAAACCAATCGATACAAAAAACTTATTTATAATGGTTAATGATAAATAACTGAACAAATCAATATACTCGTACAATCAACATGCCATTTCAAGTATGGCTCAATCGTTTAGTTTAAAATTTACAAAACTACTTTAGAAATCAAATTTGGACGAACTTTAAATTCGGCGAAATATTTTCTTGGTGCAAGTAAGGGTGTCCGCCGTTAATGGATGCCTACGTTAATGGGCGTAAGAAACACGGTGGTTATCAGAGGCTAAAATGGCTATAAATCATACGTTTAGCCAGCACGTGACACATTGACACCTAAACAGATGCATTGAGCTAAAGCTGCAGTGCTCAATGTTGCGGAAAATATACAGTGTATGTATACTTTAATATACTTTGGAAGCAGTGGTAGTTTATACATGTCGCGTACATGCCTATAAAGGGGCAAATGATTGAACCGTACGGGCTCACCATAGCCCGTGCTACATGGACACTGTCTAAGTAGCCAATTCTAAAACTCCAACAAGAAAGAACCTTGCGTGAATCTGTTTTCCTCATTTCCTTTTCCACTTTACTGTAGGAAAGTGGAAAAACTCTGAATCAAAGTTAAGATTTTTTTTGTTTAACCTGAGGCGTGATATAATCTCTACACACTGACATCACCTTCTCAAATGTCCAACGTCTTACCATCGTTAAACAAAATGCTCAAGACGTTAGTCTGGACACCACCAGACTAACATCCTCAAAATAAGAGTGAAGGAAAGAGCCTGGACATAGCCGAGGCACTACATGTCAAACACTCTTCCAGGTATAAACAGTCAAGTTTAAACATAGCTATGTCCTACCATCCAAGAAAGCTTAAGATAATTACGAATTACTACTACACCTACAGCTGTATTAGAGGGGTTAACCGGCGGTGCCCGGGTCGACCTGCGTACATCCTCCTCCCCCCATCGCTGTAACAATCTCATACTCTCGTCACTCAATCTTCACCCCCCCCCCATTCCTATGTACTCGACTCCCCCAGCCCACCCATTTTTATATAAAAGATGATGTGCTCCACGCTGAGAGGACACGCTACCTGTGTGGCTGGTGGAAGTGTTATCTAGTGTGTCAGGATAACGAGCATTTAGCTTCGCCCTGTAGTTTGTCTACCGTTTCAGTGCACTAGTACCGGGTCAACAGGGACTAGATACATCCAAACCTCTATGATAGATCAGTGTTGACCAATATTTCCAAGAGTATTTTTCCTCCTTTAAAAATGGAAATAAATCCGTGTTCGATCAATGTATATACTTTTTTTTTGTTATCAAAACTAGTCGATTTTTTAACGTATATGGTATACTGTCCTATTGGTAGCCCGCTCTTGGGGCAAGAGTTGAGCTAATTTCCAGTTTGAAGTTAGGTCAACTCCTCACTACCACACTCAAGCTCTGCCTCCCATCCTCTCAAAGTTTACAAGACACTTTACGATCAACTAAGGTGCTAGAGACGAGTTGCCTAGAGCCGTGAATGGCCACCTCCATCTAATGTGGTTATCGTACTCGTGTGAGCACGAGTAATGACAGACTAACATGGGGGATGACTAAGGGCTTTGGGTTAGGATGTTAGAACTTTACTAGACCTTGGTACTAAAGTGTGGACCATTTAGGGTCCAGGGTGTGGGGATGGTGCGATCCAGGGTGGACCGGACAAGTGGTGCAATGAACAAGCAGGCTATTGGAGCAGACACCAGGCTTCCAAGGTTCAAAAAGCCCTTTTCACCGTAATTTGTGAAGAGTAAAATAAAATTACTCTTGTAATTGTCCAGTTTTATATAATCTGGAAAACTGTCCCAGGGGCTTCTGAAACCTTTCCTTGCACTTACCACGAAGTCTTTAGACCGCACGGCGGATATCAAGTCTGGCAATAAAGATACAAGGTACTGTACCTAGATTATTAGTCTCTAGGCGTTACAATGTAAATAACCCTAGTACAATAACGGTTAATAACGGAAGTTCTACAGCGCTGCTCTTCATCTCCCCCGGGCGCTCTTAACCACCCTTCCTGGCACGATCTCCCCCCTGGGCACTCTTGAAAAGGTTTACTTCGTTAAATTCTGACGCCATTCCCAGCCAACCATGAAACGAGATTTTTAGAGAAGGAAAGAGAAGAGGTAAGGGAGAGCCTACCAGCATCCCTGTTATAGGAGACGACGACCACCACCACTGTCTATTGTAGGTAATGTGGAGTAATTGATTTCTAAACAGAAATAAGGAACCATGTATTGAAAACTGCCTCCAACGCAAGCAGTATTAAATACCATTGATATGGCATCAAGATATCTAGCAATGCCCAAGGAGGAGTGATCAGCACCAATTAAAAATACTACATTTCAGATCGTTAAGAAAATTTAGGAAAAAAACTAGAGGCACAGCCGTCGAGATACAGAAGAGCAGAGGAACACTTCCCTCCATTCCCTGACCCTTGAATATAGGACTATGATGGCACCTCCACGACCAGTGTTGTGTGATGTGGACAAGATAACACCACTACCAGGGTATAGCCAGCCAGGGGTTAAACACTGGCATATTCCACAATCATATTGCCTTTATGAGCGGCTGTAATGGCCAGCAGGGGTTGTGAAGAGGCCGGAAAGGGTGGAATGGGAGCAGTGTGAAGCTGGGGGTGTGGAATGCGAGTAATGTGGGAGATAGACGTACTATAAATGGTATAATGGCAAGAGACGACCACTGGGTTAAATCACAGGAACTGCCAAACTAGTTAATCTCCCAAGCTGTTACTAAGGAAGAAGCTACTACATACAAGCTCTTGAGCTTGTGAAATACGAAAGGGTACTATGCTAAGCAGTTACATGTCAAGACTTTAATCCAATGCCGAAATAGTGTGCACAGGTGCAAGCCATTTCCAGATCACTAAAGACTGCTACAATCCAAGTAGCCTTAATAGATGCAGTACAAATTTGAACCTGCAAATTTACCACAAGTGGTCGTACCGACACCAACCCAAATTTAGAAAAGGCAAGGAGCGTCTCTAACTTGCAGCCAAAGTTTACATGCTAACTTATTAGGTCCATGCACTTCCTTGTCCCGGGAAGACTACCGAAAGCCTTCGACAGTGGCACACAGGCCTAAAATATAAGATATCTGAACTAGGGCTTCCCGAGAGATATACTGCTACTCTGCAGCTTTATAGACAAAAGAACTGCCAAGCTTAATATCTACAGCTACTTGGGTGACAATAGAACCGAAAAGTGGAGTACCACAAGGAAGCTGCTCTCCCCCACTTTATTCAACATATACACAGCTGACCTGCCCCAACATGGAGAATACATCACATGCGCTGACTGTCACCCAAATAATCTGCCAACCGGGACCACCAAAGCCGCTACTAGCCGACAAGACCGGGACCACCAAAGCCGCTACTAGCCGACAAGACCGGGACCACCAAAGCCGCTACTAGCCGACAAGACCGGGACCACCAAAGCCGCTACTAGCCGACAAGACCGGGACCACCAAAGCCGCTACTAGGCGACAAGACCGGGACCACCAAAGCCGCTACTAGCCGACAAGACCGGGACTACCAAAGCCGCTACTAGGCGACAAGACCAAGGCGGCAATTGAACTCTTAAACAACTTTGAGAAGCAAGGGAAAATTAGCACCAACAAACAAACGTTTCAGATAATACACATTTCGAGAAGAAACCCGGACCCCATCATCCTTGACTGCCAACACCCACACATTGCGTCAGCAAGGCGGACAGCCCGCCTGCTTTCATACCTCACTGTATTTCCCCCCCCCCCCCCCCCTTCCCTTCACCTATGCCTCTCCTTCTCAAAAAAAAAAAAAAAAAAAAAAAAAAAAAAAAAAAAAAATACCGCTAGTGGTCGCGGAATCAAAGGGCCAGAATTTCTTCCACCCCGATGCCCCTGTTACCTAGCAGGAAACAGCAGGCACTCTTTAGTTGGATAGCTGCTGCCTTGGGTTGTATTCAAAAGGGGCCTGGTCGAGGATCGGACCGCAGAGACGCCAAGCCGAAATCAAGAAAGCTACTACGGAAAAGTAGCTATGCAACTGTTTTTACGACTTGCACTGCGAGGAGTCTAGAATTCTTGATAATGTACAAGTGATTCAGGTCAGGTCCCCCCCCCCCATCCACTAACGGTAGAGTGAAGCAGAGGCGTATACGTCATGGCTATAAGAGGCCGCTCCGGACCAAAGCAACACCCGAATGTAGCTACTATCCAAGGCTACCATCCTTCCCCCCCCCCAGAATCAAAGACTGCAAGAGTAAGATCAGACTGCCATATAAGGATACCAAAACGCGAAATTCGGTTTCCTATGAAGTGCGAGGCGACGAGCCTGCCTCCCACAGCACGGTAACCATCAGCAATGACACCAGGGAGTCAGGTGACGTTACTTAGACCATGTTACTAGAGTAAAAGCTATGCAGTTTATTTTTATTAATTTGAAACTAACAATTTTCAACTGGATACACTATAATTACTTGGTAGTCAAGAGATCAAGCTGGTTATGCTCCGTAAAACTGGCGTGCTTCACAGATGACGCGCCTCTGCAAGAAACAGCTCGAGTCGTGCCAAACTACTCCATCGTTGAAGTGGTTGTTGAAGACGGCCAGACAGTCCTCGTTACCGTCCGTGTTGTCCGGCTGAGGCACGCCGCTTCTGCCGATAGAAATTCGTCGTTAAGACTTAGTTGTACCAGCTATAAGCATTATGGAAACTCTTAAGGCTATCATCCAGGAGTGAAGTGGGACGTACCTGCCAGTGCGAGACCAGTTCGTATACGACATCGCAGCACCTGACAACCACGACCAGTACCTCGAGTTCACCTTGTTTCCACTAGTCCAGATGTCCTGGATGTAATCTGTACCAATGAGGGAAAATTTGTTATAGATTTAAGCGAATCTTTAGGCACAAAGATTACTAGCATGGCAGAGTTTATGCCAGAAGTCAATATTGTAAATTTCTAGCCAGAATACGGGAGATTTTGTAAACCAAGAGACTTCATTAATGTTATTCAATAAATTAAAGAAAATAAGGTTACAACATGCAATTTAAAACAACTCCCCCCCCAAACAAAGATACTCAAACCCCTCCAACTTACGTTTAACGATGATAGTGGCTATAAAGTGTTGTTCAGGTTGGGTCTCTATACTGAGGGCCTGGAAGCCGTGACCCAGAGCAGCACAGTAACGCGACGCGTGTTCCCAGGTGTAGGTCCGCCCAGAGTCGTGACACCACGACAGGTGGTACGCCCTCCCGGACTCTACCTCGTCAACCTAAAAAAGTTATTGGCAGTAATTATGATTGACAACTTAAATCTTGTAAGGTAGTTTCTCTGAACCGTTAGAAAGGACTAGCCAAGGACCCTGAATTACTGTTAACGCCCAGGTATTACATGCCTAATAATTCTTAATTGTTCTTGCAGAGAAGTGATTAATACGAATAATTACTCACTAGAGGCTTGTTGAAGGCATCACACAAAGGTGCAGGAGACTGAGCAAATTGTGTAGAGATCTCTGGGAAGGTCGGCTGTAGAGGCTGTGCCACCAGGACTGGGGGTGGGACTGGCTCAACCGGTGGAAGATCAAAGAAGTGTTGCTGGGGTGTGGCTGGTTGCACCACTTGCTGCAATTGTGGCCGAACCACCTGGGAGCGTTGTTGTTGTTGTTGTTGTTGTTGTTGCTGCTGCTGGGTCGAGTGTGGGGACACCACAATAGGACCTGAAGCTTTGGCCAAGTTACTGTCACCGTCAGCGCCGAAGATAATGGGCATACCATCGTCCCGTATGTACTGGGCCCAAACACATGTCTGGACCACTAATATGATGACTACCGCTTTCATCTGTAAAGGATAATAAATATAAGGTACGATTAAGCAGTGCCTCTGTTAGTATTCCAATGTATGATGAAATTAAGAAATTAATTTTTCCTTAAAATTATATGCACGGTTAAGTGCATCGTAAAGTATTACAGAGCTTTGGAGCATATTCTTTTTCACTACTTATATGAAGCAAAGATTATTCTAAATTTTAGAACCAAGTTTAAATTTTCATGTAATCTAGTAGTCTATACCTACACAAAAGAGGTAAAAGTTAATTAGTTCGGCAATTTCTATGGTATACTTAAGAAACGCCTATTCTTTCACAAGTTAAAATTCGTGTAATACTTTAAATTACTTATGAGCGTTATAAGTGTCGAGTGTAGAGTACCAGTATTAAGTAAAGTAGAGCTAATAGGCAAAAACCTGGAATTATAGTTGGGGGGGGGGGGGGGGGAAACTTCTGAAGTTAAAAAATTATATTTAACTGAAGTTCGAAGACAATCAGCCGTGTCCTGAAACCACCATTTAATATGTAATGTTACGTCCATGCGCAATAATAAAAAGAGACTGAAATCTAAGTGGGATACAAGAACTTTTTGAAGTAAATACCAAATGTAAAACCAAAAAAATCCAATCTAAGTTCTTAAGAGATAATCTAGACCGTTAAAATCTGTAATCTCGCACTTCAGACTAATCCCGGAAACCATAAACGTAATACATTATTTACTCCCAAATACTTAACATTAATATACATTCCGAGCATGTATACAAACATTACCAAAATACGTACTGTTACCGTGATGGTAAGAGGAGCACTGATAAATGTGGATCACGAATGCCTCTTTTATACAGACATTATTGACTGTGATTGGCTGAAATATTTGGCGGGAATAATCTGCTGTGGGTTCCAATTGGCTGGTCTAGCTGATGCCGGAAAAGCTGTTTACTCTTGACGCGGCAGCACAAACAATTAGTCGCCAGTTTCCGTTGCCAGACGCGCGATCATACCTCTCAACACTGTGACCGTACATCAGTCATCACTATTACCATCCAAGATACACTAGCTTATTGACCAACCGATAAGTATACTTTTGTCCGGGCCTAAAAGTGAAGTCGTAGTGTAGATACACCGGCTTAGCGCTTTTTCCCTCATCATTACCTTCCATTTATTGGTCCACTGCCATTACTGTTATATTTAGTAGCTTAGCTAATGTTAGTAGATGTTTGGATATAGAGCAGAGCCACACGATGGAGTGAGGTGTCAGCTTAGCTAATGTTAGTAGATGTTTGGATATAGAGCAGAGCCACACGATGGAGTGAGGTGTCAGCTTAGCTAATGTTAGTAGATGTTTGGATATAGAGCAGAGCCACACGATGGAGTGAGGTGTCAGCTTAGCTAATGTTAGTAGATGTTTGGATATAGAGCAGAGCCACACGATGGAGTGAGGTGTCAGCTTAGCTAATGTTAGTAGATGTTTGGATATAGAGCAGAGCCACACGATGGAGTGAGGTGTCAGCTTAGCTAATGTTAGTAGCTTAGCTAATGTTAGTAGATTTGGATATAGAGCAGAGCCACACGATGGAGTGAGGTGTCAGCTTAGCTAATGTTAGTAGATGTTTGGATATAGAGCAGAGCCACACGATGGAGTGAGGTGTCAGCTTAGCTAATGTTAGTAGATGTTTGGATATAGAGCAGAGCCACACGATGGAGTGAGGTGTCAGCTTAGCTAATGTTAGTAGATGTTTGGATATAGAGCAGAGCCACACGATGGAGTGAGGTGTCAGCTTAGCTAATGTTAGTAGATGTTTGGATATAGAGCAGAGCCACACGATGGAGTGAGGTGTCAGCTTAGCTAATGTTAGTAGATGTTTGGATATAGAGCAGAGCCACACGATGGAGTGAGGTGTCAGCTTAGCTAATGTTAGTAGATGTTTGGATATAGAGCAGAGCCACACGATGGAGTGAGGTGTCAGCTTAGCTAATGTTAGTAGATGTTTGGATATAGAGCAGAGCCACACGATGGAGTGAGGTGTCAGCTTAGCTAATGTTAGTAGATGTTTGGATATAGAGCAGAGCCACACGATGGAGTGAGGTGTCAGCTTAGCTAATGTTAGTAGATGTTTGGATATAGAGCAGAGCCACACGATGGAGTGAGGTGTCAGCTTAGCTAATGTTAGTAGATGTTTGGATATAGAGCAGAGCCACACGATGGAGTGAGGTGTCAGCTTAGCTAATGTTAGTAGATGTTTGGATATAGAGCAGAGCCACACGATGGAGTGAGGTGTCAGCTTAGCTAATGTTAGTAGATGTTTGGATATAGAGCAGAGCCACACGATGGAGTGAGGTGTCAGCTTAGCTAATGTTAGTAGATGTTTGGATATAGAGCAGAGCCACACGATGGAGTAAGGTGTCAAGTACACTTAACTCAAGCACTGGATGACCAGCTTAAGTGTGTGGTTGGAACAGCTTGATTGGATTAGATTTAGATTCTGTTTATTAAGGCTACATACATCGAGTTACATACATAATGTTGGATTTAAAGATAAGAGATAGTACATACAATACCTAAAGCCACTAGTACGCATAGCGTTTCGGGCAAGTTTCAATTAGTTTGGTAATTAATAAGTAATTCTAATTCAATTAATTCTAATTCAAGTAATTCTAATTCAATTCAAGTAATTCAATTAGTTTGGTTGGATTAGTTTCAATGTGTTTGGTAACTAGTCAGTCTCATCTTGAATACGTCTAATTCATGTAAACTATTTAACAACTCTGTGCTTATGGTAATGTATTTAACTTGTGTGTTTATATATACATGTTGTTCTCAGAAGCCCATTCATCACTCTTCACAAGTTATGCAGATCAGTACAATACGTCTCATTGTATGATCTTATATTGTATTCCTTAACGTAACTGTGTTGATACCTGGTTGATGGGGTTCTGGGAGTTCTTCTACTGCCCAAGCCCGGCCCGAGGCCAGGCTTGACTTGTGAGAGTTTGGTCCACCAGGCTGTTGCTTGGAGCGGCCCGCAGGCCCACATATACCTGGTTGATGGGGTTCTGGGAGTTCTTCTACTCCCCAAGCCCGGCCCGAGGCCAGGCTTGACTTGTGAGAGTTTGGTCCACCAGGCTGTTGCTTGGAGCGGCCCGCAGGCCCACATATACCTGGTTGATGGGGTTCTGGGAGTTCTTCTACTCCCCAAGCCCGGCCCGAGGCCAGGCTTGACTTGTGAGAGTTTGGTCCACCAGGCTGTTGCTTGGAGCGGCCCGCAGGCCCACATATACCTGCTTGATGGGGTTCTGGGAGTTCTTCTACTCCCCAAGCCCGGCCCGAGGCCAGGCTTGACTTGTGAGAGTTTGGTCCACCAGGCTGTTGCTTGGAGCGGCCCGCAGGCCCACATATACCTGCTTGATGGGGTTCTGGGAGTTCTTCTACTCCCCAAGCCCGGCCCGAGGCCAGGCTTGACTTGTGAGAGTTTGGTCCACCAGGCTGTTGCTTGGAGCGGCCCGCAGGCCCACATATACCTGGTTGATGGGGTTCTGGGAGTTCTTCTACTCCCCAAGCCCGGCCCGAGGCCAGGCTTGACTTGTGAGAGTTTGGTCCACCAGGCTGTTGCTTGGAGCGGCCCGCAGGCCCACATATACCTGCTTGATGGGGTTCTGGGAGTTCTTCTACTCCCCAAGCCCGGCCCGAGGCCAGGCTTGACTTGTGAGAGTTTGGTCCACCAGGCTGTTGCTTGGAGCGGCCCGCAGGCCCACATATACCTGGTTGATGGGGTTCTGGGAGTTCTTCTACTCCCCAAGCCCGGCCCGAGGCCAGGCTTGACTTGTGAGAGTTTGGTCCACCAGGCTGTTGCTTGGAGCGGCCCGCAGGCCCACATATACCTGCTTGATGGGGTTCTGGGAGTTCTTCTACTCCCCAAGCCCGGCCCGAGGCCAGGCTTGACTTGTGAGAGTTTGGTCCACCAGGCTGTTGCTTGGAGCGGCCCACAGGCCCACATACCCACCACAGCCCGGCTGATCTGGAACTTCTCTTAGAAAACAGTCCAGTTTTCTCTTGAAGATGTCCACGATTGTTCCGGCAATATTTCTTATAGTCGCTGGGAGGACGTTGAACAACCGCGGACCTCTGATGTTTATACAGTGTTCTCTGATTGTGCCTATGGCACCTCTGCTCTTCACTGGTTCAATCTTGCATTTTCTTCCATATCGTTCACTCCAGTACGTTGTTATTTTACTGTGCAGATTAGGGCCCTGACCCTCCAGTATTTTCCATGTGTATATTATTTGGTATCTCTCTCGTCTCCTACCCTAGCCAACCAAATATGCTGGGGTCTACTCTACCCCAAGGCACTCTTGCCAGGAACCCAAATATGCTGGGGTCTACTCTACCCCAAGGCACTCTTGCCAGGAACTACGTGTAAATACATCTACCTGTAAATTATCTCCATGAGTGAGCGGGATCTTACAAACGGCAGCCGCCGCGCCAAGCGAGGCTAACCTTGTGTACACACGTCAATCCCAACTCCGCCTTCAAAGGATGTACAGTTTGTTTGTCAACTCTGGAAACAAGCCTGCTGTAGCGATTCCTGGAAAATATATCCAGCAGACAGCCAGTGCCAGCAGGTAGCCAGAGCACTGCCAGAAAGGTAGGCAGAGCAGTGCCAGAACGGTAGCCAGAGCAGTGTCAGAACGGTAGCCAGAGCAGTGCCAGAACGGTAGCCAGAGCAGTGCCAGAACGGTAGCCAGAGCAGTGCCAGAACGGTAGCCAGAGCAGTACCAGAACGGTAGCCAGAGCAGTGCCAGAACGGTAGCCAGAGCAGTGCCAGAACGGTAGCCAGAGCAGTGCCAGAACGGTAGCCAGAGCAGTGCCAGAACGGTAGCCAGAGCAGTGCCAGAACGGTAGCCAGAGCAGTGCCAGAACGGTAGCCAGAATGTAGTCAGAGAAGTGTCAACAGCCAGCCACAACAGTGTCAGCAGCCAGCCACAACAGTGTCAGCAGCCAGCCACAACAGTGTCAACAGCCAGCCACAACAGTGTCAACAGCCAGCCACAACAGTGTCAACAGCCAGCCACAACAGTGTCAGCAGCCAGCCACAACAGTGTCAGCAGCCAGCCACAACAGTGTCAGCAGCCAGCCACACAACAGTGTCAGCAGCCAGCCACACAACAGTGTCAGCAGCCAGCCACAACAGTGTCAGCAGCCAGCCACAACAGTGTCAGCAGCCAGCCACAACAGTGTCAACAGCCAACCACAACAGTGTCAGCAGCCAGCCACAACAGTGTCAGCAGCCAGCCACACAACAGTGTCAGCAGCCAGCCACAACAGTGTCAACAGCCAGCCACACAACAGTGTCAGCAGCCAGCCACAACAGTGTCAGCAGCCAGCCACACAACAGTGTCAGCAGCCAGCCACAACAGTGTCAGCAGCCAGCCACAACAGTGTCAGCAGCCAGCCACAACAGTGTCAGCAGCCAGCCACACAACAGTGTCAGCAGCCAGCCACAACAGTGTCAACAGCCAGCCACAACAGTGTCAGCAGCCAGCCACAACAGTGTCAGCAGCCAGCCACACAACAGTGTCAGCAGCCAGCCACAACAGTGTCAACAGCCAGCCACAACAGTGTCAGCAGCCAGCCACAACAGTGTCAGCAGCCAGCCACACAACAGTGTCAGCAGCCAGCCACAACAGTGTCAGCAGCCAGCCACAACAGTGTCAGCAGCCAGCCACAACAGTGTCAACAGCCAGCCACAACAGTGTCAGCAGCCAGCTACAACAGTGTCAGCAGCCAGCCACACAACAGTGTCAGC